GGTTTACAGTTCCCTGAAAAAGGCGTTCCCAGAAAGCAGACATGGAGGCGCAGATGTCGCTTCGTCGCAAGCCTGTGCTTGTGTACCCTCCCAGAGAGTGGGGCCTTTATTTTCAGTCGGTGCTTCAAACTGATGCTGTTTCTCTGGCTGCGAAGGCTTGGGTGTCGCTGGGTGCTGAACCATTGCAGGGCTGCTGGAGGTTTGTGTTTGTCGGTTTGGCAAGTGCCCAATTGAAGAAGGAAGATTTACCTGGGCAAACATTGACAGGCAGTTTTTTTTACAAACAGCTCTGGCAGCAGGGCTTTTATGAACAGGCAGACTTTGGATACTTGTAGCAGCTTGTTTGGGGGATAATTGTCAGGGAAGTAGTTGATTTTTTACCATTCCTGCATAGCTCAAATGACGCGCGCCAAAGGCTGACTGGTGTTCATGTGAGTAATTCCTGTGTGACTCCCAACCACCTTTGATTTAACTGCAATTTCACGTGCAGCCTGACTTCTACTAGAAATAAAAGGCATCACCACAGTGGGTGAGAATTGAGTTGTTCCCTCTATTTCAAGAACATGTTTCCCGAAACCCTGTGATTTAGAAAGGTGTATGAGACCTGTGAGGGTGGACGCAGGCTCCATCCCATCTATGTTGCTGGTCTCTAAACTGGCTTACACACAGATGGCGTGAGTTTTCCTTGAGATATTTGTACTGCTGGAGACATCGGAGGTGGTTGTCAGTGCTCCCCTGACCTTACTGGCAGCCCCTCAGGTTGTGATCCTTCTGGACTCTCTAAAGTTTCTTTGCTGCGATGTGCATGTCACTCATTGCATTGCCCCACTGATCACGTAAGAAGTCCAGGGAGTGAACTCTGAACTTGCCACCTGCGTTATTGATATCTTAAGTTAGGTGAGATAATTTTCCCTGTAATTCCCACACCCTTCTTGATTCCTGTGGACGTGTTGCCCATGGGGAGAGTCACTGTGACTTCAGTAGCTGACCTGTGTTATGTGAAAGTGTGTTGGCTTCATTTTTGTTGACTTTCCTCTTGATCTTAGGCTGTTGCTACAGGTTGCTATTTGCTGCCCCTTGAGGATTTGTTGTTTTTTAAGCATGTACCATATCCTCTCTTTATATCTCTCCTTTCACAGAAAACATTTGCTGCATTTCCTTCACATCCTCTGTTACAGCAGTTGCTGTCTCTGAACTCAGTGAACAATGGACAGCCGCCAGCAGAACATGTGTCCTGAAATATTCTGGGGTCTTCCAGTTTGGTCACTTCCAGTTTTCTAGAAATGAGGCTGGAGGATTCACTTTCTACCAAGATGTCTGTTTTTCAGCACAGCTGGTATTGAAAAAAAAGAAGTGTTTTTGTTGTTTTGTTTTGTTTTGTTTTTTTTCTGGGCTGAGGAGTGCTACATGCACATTTTCAGCTAGAGGTTGGCTTGCTTTATCTCTCACCATGGACTGTTCTGTTCAGTCCCTTTGAGGTGGCTGAGATGGTCTGTACCTCTGATACATAACCAGACTGCAGATTTATTAGACGTATTCTGCAAAAGTGGATATATCTAAATCAACTTCCTTTAAAAACTAAAGCTCTGGTCTCTGTCCTTAGCAGGACAAAACAAACACTCCATGTAGAAAAAATTGCAGATACAGTTCTGAGCATTGAAAATTTCAGGAGGTTGAGTTGTACTTTGATTTGCACTCCAGTCAACAGAATTTGGGCCATCCTGCCTGGTTACAGCACTGATTATTCAGCAGGTATTTTAACAGAACAGCGCTTTTGAGAACATGTTTCCAGAATTTCTCTTTTTGTGATGTTTAGACTGGTGAATTACAAAGTACGAGTTGAGGAATATGCTGGGATGGACAAACTATTTGATTAGCTAAAATGCAAAGCAGTGCTTCCCAGAAGCAGGCAGGGATACCCTGCTTTCTCTGCAGTAGGGCAGCAGAAAATCTGTTCGTTGTTTTATAGCAGCTTCTAATACATGGATTACAGCTATAAAACGATTGCTCATCTCTCAAATCCAATTTCTTGCTAACTGAAGATGCTCTTGCAAAGAGAAATAGTCAACCATGGGCTCACTAGTGTCTGTGCACCAATTTTTTGAAGGGAACTGCGTGAATAGGAGGTCAGCTCAAAGGTCTTGTGTCCAGTTTTGGGCTGTGGGTAAAGGGGTCTAAGGTGCAGGAAAATTTGAGCCACAAATGGATTATGAAGAGTTTGTTTTTAGGACTGACTGCTTTGGTGGGGCTTTTCTTAGAGACACGATCCTAGAGGTGAGTGGTGGGTGGGTATTGCACCATCTTGATATTGTAAAACCCAACAAAATTATTCCTTTGTCTTTTGAGGCAGCTGAGGGAGGACCAGTGAAGGCGAAAGGCCTGCAGACCTTTTGAGTGGAAGGGTGACCTGGGGCCAAGTGACTACTTTTATGATTCTGGTTTTATCATTCATCCCATAAAGAGGTGTCATGCCAATTACAAAAGTATATGACTAAATGTGATTTATAGTAATGTTTACAATTGATTTAGAGACTGAGTTATTATTATGTCATAAAACTATTCCCTGTTATTTATGATAATAATATAAACACTGCAATATTAACACCTTATAGACATAGGTGGTTCAGAATCTTCCTGGTTACAGAAGGGGAATTCTTTTGTCAACCAGTGGAATGAAGGATTCAACTGAAACTTGAGGCTGTTCCAGAGCAGGAAAGTTTGGTATGTGGCTCTTGTCTGGGCAGGGAAAGGGAAATTACTGTGCTCACTCGTAAGGGATGCCCACGTTACTCCACTGTGCAAGCAAAATGAGGTGAGCTTAGGGAGGAAGTGTGGACTGCATGTTTATATATGCTCATTGCACAACAATGTCTTATTGAGCAGAGAGAACCAGAAAACTGATCTATTTATGGATTTACCTGAGCTAACCTGGGTCGACTTTCCATGAGGTGTTCCCATTGCTATGCACAAGCACCTGAATGCTTTTTTTTTTCTTTTTTGCCCATAGGAAAACCGTCCAATCCCGGAACCAGGTCCCAATGGTAGGTCTAGAGATGACTGCTTCTGTCTGCTTTCTTTTCTCATCTCTTTCTTTTCTCATTCTCTTTTGTCGCTCCTTGGTATTAGAGAGATAAAATATTTCTGAGAAAGTATAAAATAGTCTAAAAAAGACTAAATTACTGAAACAGTTAATGTTGCATTTCTGCATGAAGAGAAGAGCTGGAGCAGTTATATCTGTTTTGTTTTTTTTTTCTTCCTGTTTCATCAGTTCATGTAATTCACATTAAACAACTCCTGGGAAATGTCAGATGATCTTATTAAAGAACTAAATATTAATAAGCTAGGCATATGGGCTGATAGAAATTTGATTCACAAAATCTCCAGGGCTGAAATCATAGCTTAGGGAGAAGGAAAAATGAAATGGAATTGCTTTTTTTATTCTTGCTCCAGGAACAGTCACGCCTCTCTTAGATTGTGTTAGCTTTTGTTGACAGGGGTCTTACCGTATTTTAATGATTGTAAATCACAGAATCACAGAATGGGTAGGGATTGGAAGGGATGTCAGGAGATCATCTAGTCCAACCCCCCTGCCAAAGCAGGTTCCCCACAGCAGGTTGCACAGGAAAGCATCCAGGTGAGTTTGGAACATCTCCAGAGATGGAGACTCCACAACCTCTCTGGGCAGCCTGTCCCACAGCTCCAACACCCTCATAGTAAAGAAGTTTTTCCTTGTCTGGAACTTCCCGTGTTCCAGTTTGTGCCCATTGCCCCTTGTCCTGTCACTGGGCACCACCAAAAAGAGCCCGGCCCCATCCATTTGGCCCCCACATTTCAGATATTTATAGACATTGATCAGATCCCCTCTCAGTCTGCTCTTCTCCAGGCTGAAGAGTCCCAGCTCTCTCAGCCTTTTCTCATAAGGGAGATGCTCCAAGCCCCTCATCATCTTTGTGGCCCCTCCTCTGGACTCTCTCCAGAAGATCCCTGTCCCTCTTGAACTGGGGAGCCCAGAACTGAACGCAGGACTCCAGATGTCACCTCACCAGGGCAGAGTAGAGGGAGAGGAGAACCTCCCTCGACCTGCTGGCCACACTCTTCTGAATGCACCCCAGGATACTGTTGGCCTTCCTGGCCACAGGGCACACTGCTGGCTCATGGCCAGCCTGCTGTCCACCAGAACACCCAGGTCCTTTTCCTCAGAGCTCCTCTAGAGCAGGTCAGCCCCTAACCTGTACTGGTGCAGGCGGTTATTCCTCCCCAGGTGAAGGACTCTGCACTTGCTCTTGTTGAACCTCATCAGGTTCCTTTCCGCCCAACTCTCCAGCATGTCCAGGTCTCTCTGAATGGCCGCACAGCCTTCTGGTGTATCAGCCTCTCCTCCCAACTTCGTATCATCATCAAACTTGCTGAGGGTGGATGCTATCCCTACATCCAGGTCACTGATGAAGATGTTAAACAAGACCGGACCCAGTACTGACCCCTGGGGAACACCACGGTTACAGGCCTCCAGCTAGATTCTGCGCCACTGATCACCACCTTCTGAGCTCTGCCAGTCAGCCAATTCTCAATCCACCTCACTGTCCACTCGTCTATCCCATACCTTCTAAGCTTTGCTACAAGGATGTTGTGGGATACGGTATCAAAAGCCTTGCTGAAATCAGGTAGACAACATCTAAATCCTCATATAGTTCTGTATTTCAGCAGGTGCTTCATGACTAGGTCATCTTTGACATCCATCCTAATGTGTGCACATGCAGTTCTGGTACATTTATTTAATGCAAGTAAATTTGGATGTTTCATTGCTGGCTTGGCCTTTGTTGTGGGGCACAGCAACAGCACACGTGTCGCTCTCCCAGTGCCCGAGAAGGTACATTTTTCAGTGGGGAACCTTTCTTCCTTTTCTGGCAGAGGTCCTCCTGCGGATGCATTCTGTTGGGATCTGTGGGTCTGACGTTCACTACTGGCAGCATGGTCGAATTGGGGATTTTGTTGTGAAGGACCCCATGGTGTTGGGACATGAAGCTTCCGGGACTGTCATCAAAGTGGGATCAGGAGTGACGCATCTGAAACCAGGTAAGGGGAATCAAAACAGTCTTTTTATGTCTTTTCCTGATAATCAGTTTCTGAGAATGTGTTGATAACAGGTTGTGCTTTTTTGTTAGGTAGATTTACCTGACCTTATAAGCTGTGAATTGCAGTGTGACCTTCTCCTTCCAAGAGTGTCACTGTGCTGCTATGAATCACCCAGCTTGGCCACTATAGTTTGTAGTATTTCTTAGGTATGCTTTGTCCTGGGATATCTTGAGCTTCAGAAACCATGTGCATTGCTCTTGCCAACAACCTGCTGTTAATGTTTCTTCTCTGTGTGTGTTCTTGAAGGAGCAAATGGCCTCCTGCAGTGGAGAGAGGTCACTGGAGCAAATGTACCAGGCCCTGTGGTGTGACCTCTACACTCATGAATGTTCTAGAAAATGGGCTGAGCAGTGAATTTTGCAAAGTTTGCTGATTATAGCAACTTAGTCAGGGTGGAGAGGACACAGGAGAGCTAGCAAGAATTACAGAGAGACCTTAAGGGTGCCTGGGCAATAAGGTGCAGGTGAAATTCAATGCAGATAAACATAAAGTGGTATCCACAAGAGAAGAAACAAAACCAGCTTCCTATCTAAAATGATGGGCGGACCATCACTGCTGAAGAGTGAAACCTTTGACTCTGACGCAGTGCGTGGTAACGTTGGCTCAGTAATGGTGAAAAGGCAAATCAGTGTTAGGAAAGGGACAGACTCTCAATCAGTGGACATCATTGCACATCTGGAGCTCTGCGTGCAGTTCTGGTCTCCTTCTTTCCAAAGGGAAATAAAAGACGTGAAAAAGTTTCAGAGGAGGACAAGAAGATGAGGAGATATGGGGCAGCATCTCTATGATGAATGACTAAGTTAGAAACCTGAGTTAGGAACTGGAGAGACAACTAAAGGATGTGTGACACAGATCTGAAAGCTCATGGAGGGCAGGGAGAAGGCACGTAAAGGTTGCCTATTCTCTAGTTCCTCCAGTACAAGGGCAAGGGACAGAGGGAGCCAAGTGTAGCATTCACCTAAGATGTAGCAGACCTGCAGGCCTCCTTGGCAAAGGATGACGTGGATGCTAAAAGTTTACACGGTGGAAGGTGGAGGAGAGATTGTCAAGGGTTACTGAATACAAAGAAACCACATACAGCTTGGAAGGCTCTACAGCTGAATATAATGGGAGACAGGGAGAACATTCAGAATGTGCTTGTCCTGCTGCTCTCACCCCCAGACATCCCCTGTTGGCCTTATCAGAGGTGGTGTGGTGGGCTAGATGACTCTTTACTTCAATCCATCCTCCTGCTTGTCACTGTGTCTGACTGAAAGCCTGTTGGTGGAGTGCTTCACTGCGAGATTTGGCTTTGATTGGCTTCCTCAGCCAAATAAAATGGACTGGCTTGTGTCCCTTACGTGCTTGCAAGTTGTACTGTGGTCACACAGTTGGTTTATTTAGTCCATCCTGCCTCACAATTGCAATGAAATAATTACTCTGTCCTGTAGCGTGTGTCCTTCCAGTACTCTGGGCTACTTCATTGTAATGTCTCTGTTCCCCAGTAAGTCCTGCCTGACTCCTGGGTGTGTTTCCACACCTTAAGCTTCCTTCCCAAGACACAACCCTTTCCAGCTGGCAACGTGGTGGCCAGCAGAGCTTGCGTACTTTGTCCTAATTATTTCCTCTTCCAATTACTACAGATTCTGAAAAAAATCTGGTCACCTTGTGATTGCTGGGGGTGAGGGCTGCCTTGTTGTGTGCTGAGGTTGAGTGCAAGGCAACTGGAGAGGGGTTTGTATGTCACTGAGCTTCCATCTGCTCTGTCTGTACCACTGGCTCTTTTCAAGTAACTGTGAAGATCTTGGTGATGAGGCCACCATGAAGGAAGTGTTAGGAGCTTGCCTGGTGTGCGCAGCATGATCTTTCTCAGATGACCCTCATGCTTCTCTTGTGCCAGGGTTTCATGCTATCTTACATGGGTGCTACTTGACACCTACACGCCCACCTTCTTCCCAGGTAATGCAGTCTGCTTTCACCCCGGCAGGTGATCGAGTGGCCATTGAGCCTGGCGTCCCAAGAGAAGTAGATGAGTTCTGCAAAACGGGCCGCTATAACCTGTCTCCAACCATCTTCTTCTGTGCGACGCCGCCAGATGATGGGAACTTGTGTCGCTACTACAAGCACAGTGCCAGCTACTGCTACAAGTTAGTCGGTGCTCCCTCTGCAGAGAAATAAGTACTCCCTGGGGGTGGTTAGCTGAAGCAATCACTTCTTGGCCCTTTTGATTGTTGCATTGAGCACTCTTTGTTTGAACACAACAGGTTTTATTGCTTTCTGATCCATAAATAACATGTTTAAGGCTTGGATGGCAGCCACTTTGCAAAGGATTTGTCAGGCAGGTGTAGTTTATTCCCTCTGGTGCCAGACATAAACAAACATTTATTGCGTGTTTCCTGGAATGTCACCATTGTTTTACCCTTTAGTTATTTTCCTTGTCCCATTTTCTCTCTGCTCTTGGTTTCTTTTCTGCTGTCTTTTTACATCCTTGCCTTCTCAGGACGGTGCCTGAAGGTCTTTGTCTGATTCTTTGAGCTGACCTAGCTTTACTGCTGCTTTTCAGGAAACACCGCATTGACTGCTGACACCTCGTTCTGTCATTTGAAACAAAGCCTGACTTAGAGCAGAACAGGAACAGAAAGTGGCATCCCTGCTAAGCTGCTTTTTGGTGTGGTGCTGAGTGGCCTCACTAAGCTGTCAGCATTACATTTCTGTTTTCATATCCAGTTCAGCAAACTTGAATATGTTCTTAATTGTTGTAGGACTGACACATTTGCTTAAAAGCAAGTCTGTGTTTAAGTACTCTGGCAAATACGCTAGAAACTTGAATAAACCTCTGCAACATTATACCCACATAAATGCATTTACAGAAGGAGTTCAAAATAGTATAAGGTGGCCCCCTGAGACTTGTCTACTCATAGACCTTGTTCTTTCTCAGTCTGTATGAAGCTCCATGAGCAGAAATGTCCTTGGGATTGATCTTAGGTGTCTCCAGAAGAAGTGTTCAGGATCACATCAGTTGGAAGGAGGTACTTGAATGCTCTTCTCATGAGAGTCCTCAGGCAGGAAGCTTCTTTCAGAGTGGATCCCAAGCAGCTGCTGTCAGGATGAGATGCAGGTCTGGATGGGAGTAACTTCTCACTGTCCAGACTTGCTGTCACTGATTTCCTGTGTGCTGTTAAAATAATGTTTTCTGACAACATCACAAGTTTTTTGCTTGGGAGGAAGTGGCTGGTTTGTAGCTGTTTTTTTCCAGGGTTTTGCTTTTTTCTCCAATTTGAGTAAATATTATTTTGGCTATTTTTATTTTTTTTTTTAAGCTTTGAAGTGCAAAGCCTGGATCTGGTGCTCCACGTTTCAGATCAGCAATGCTCTGGCCGTCTGATGCAGAGCAGATTCCATGGCATGAAGTCGCTTTGCCAGCAGACATTTACTAAGAAAAGCTAATGGCTGAGCTCAGTGGGCTCTCACAGATTTGGGCAGATATTGTTTGTCCTTCTGCTGGTGGACAGACTCTGTGTTGGATGCGCTGAGTAATTTGATGGAGGTGGGATCATGCTGGAAAGTTGCCCTCCCTATTGATGGGGCAGTGTCCAGACCCAGTAGTAGTAAATGTGATGCCAAACTCTAAGACAACTGAGCTCTTGCAGTCAGCCCATTAATGCCTCCTGGAGATAAGGGACATAGAACCATAGAATCATAGAATCATAGAA